CTAAGGAGCTCGGTGAAGAGCTGAGGAGCTCTGGGACAAGCCGAAGATCTTGTTGAAGAGCTGAGGAGCTCTGGGACAAGACGAAGAGCTTGTTGAAGAGCTGAGGAGGTCTGGGACGAGCAGAGGAGCTCGTAGAAGAGCTGAGGAGCTCGGCGAAGAGCTGAGGAGCTCGGTGAAGAGCTGAGGAGCTCGGCGAGGAGCTGAGGAGCTCGGCGAAGAGCTGAGGAGCTCGGTGAAGAGCTGAGGAGCTCTAGAACGAGCTGAGGAGCTTGGTGAAGAGCTGAGGAGCTCGGGGACGAGCTGAGGAGCTCGGTGAAGAGCTTAGGAGCTCTGGGACGAGCTGAGGAGCTCTGTGAAGAGCTGAGGAGCTCGGTGAAGACTGTTGAGGAGCTCGGGGACGAGCTGAGGAGCTCGGTGAAGAGCTTAGGACCTCTGGGACGAGTAGAGGAGCTCTGTGAAGAGCTGAGGAGCTCGGTGAAGAGCTGAGGAGCTCGGTGAAGAGCTGAAGAGCTCTGTGACGAGTTTACGTTAACCCTTGTATGCGAGACTGATCTTGGCTTTATCGGATGCGAGCTTTCATGGTGGTGCGATGTACGGATTGCTCGGCTTGTCGAGTGCTTGAAAAAGCGCAAACTGCAGAATCTTTGGCTGTTGAAAACGAGGTAAAAATTGACCTGAAATAGACGAGGTAAAAACGAAATGTTTAATAGGCGAGCCAAAAAACTAGCGAGTTTTAAGTACAAGATGCGAGGCTGAGCTCGTGAGTTAAAGATTGCGCGACCGAGTTCGGGTTACTCGTTTTATCGAAATGTTCAACGAAGCGCGAAGTGCGGAACCTTCGGCTTTATCGAAACGGCGCGAGTATGGATCTCGGCTTTTCAGAAAACAAAGTTTTTGTTTTAACAAGGTTGAGCTAGTCTATTACGAGACGAGCCCTGTGTTATCCCTTGTGTGCGAGGACGACCTCGTCTTTGGTGCGAGCTTCTAAAACGATGCGACGTTTTAGTTGCTCGGCTTTAATCGGTTGTTTGAGGAAGCGCGAAGTGCGGAATCTTCGGCTCTGTCGAAACAGTGCGAGCACGGAGCTCGGCTTATGCGAGGAGACCTCGGCTTTCTGGAAAACGTCCAGTGTTCGAGACGGACTCGAGACATCGTGAGGTGCGACGCGCGATGTCGGCTTACCCTGTAATAGCTTGACAAAGCATGAATGTGCGAGTACGGCCTCGGCTTATTATATTCAGTTTGTCAGAGCTTTGCGAGCCCGGAGCTCGGCTTTCATACCCTTAAGTAAGGGTATGCGTTCTCGGGCGAACGTATTCGATCGAATGCCGGGCCAGGGCATCGATGTGATTTAGCTCGATTGCTACGTGATCTTTACGAAGACCACGTGATGTCGGTGTGAAAACCGATTTATTAAATCGATAGCTGCACCCTGTGAACAAGGCTGCCTACGTACCCTTCGAAGGGATCAAGCCGATCGTAGTTCTTTTATTCAGTGAGGCACTGGCTAGGCCGAGCTACCTTTTTTTTTTTTTTGATGCACGAAATCACACAAGTACGAAAATAGGGATCTCTAGGGAAGTAAGAAGAATCTTTCTATTATAACGAGCCCGAGACTTAGGCAGGTCGGTCGAGACTTCAAAGGACGGTCTCTTCCTTGTGTAGGCCGAGACATGATGGGTTGATTGTGGTAAAAGATATTTGATGAATGAATACGAGCTTGATGCTTGAGGACGAGCTGAGGAGCTCGGAGGAGAGTTGAGGAGCTCGGGTTGTCCTGATAGCTGCGTCTCCTTATGTTCCGATTGTCTTGATAGCTGAACCTTGTAAACAAGGCTGCCTACGTACCCTTTGAAGGGATCAAGCCGTTCGTAGTTCATGTTATTAATTGTCTGAGGAGTTCCGGGATGAGCGGAGGAGCTCGTAGAAGAGCTGAAGAGCTCTGGGACGAGCTGAGGAGCTCGTAAGCGATTCGTAAGCGTCCCAGGACGAGCAGAGGAGCTCGTGGAAGAGCCGAGGAGCTCTGGGACGAGCTGAGGAGCTCGTAGAAGAGCGGAGGAGCTCTGGGATGAGCCGAGGAGCTCAGGGAGGAGCGGAGGAGCTCCGGCACGAGCTTCATGCGTTCTCCCGTGTTCTTGCGTGGATTGGACCCCCCCTTGTGAGAGGACCTGGTCCTCTGTATTTATAGTGAACAGTGTAGGGCGTCCTTCGGGGTGATTTGACGAATCTACCCTTTGGTCGGTTGTCCTTGGCGGGCTTGATTCGTTGTGGGCCTGAAGTTGATTTGGGCCTTCAAATCTTGGGCTGACCCTGGACTGACTTTGGGCTTATTTTGGGCTTTGGGGCTGAATTTGGGCCTTCGGCTAAAGAGGCCAAATTCGACCCCTAACAGTTGCCCCCCAATCCTGATGCATGGTTGATGATGTGGATCAGGATTGTAGAAGTTTTTGCGAACTCCGACCGCCACGCACAAAATGATACGAGGCGGGTCATTCTTTGGTGTCGAGGGAATGGAACGAGCTGAGGAGCTCTTTGGACAAGCCGAGGAGCTTTGAGAAGAGCTGAGGAGCTCTGGGACAAGACGAAGAGCTTGTTGAAGAGCTGAGGAGCTCTGGGACGAGCAGAGGAGCTCGTAGAAGAGCTGAGGAGCTCGGTGAAGAGCTGAGGAGCTCGGCGAAGAGCTGAGGAGCTCTGGGACAAGCCGAAGAGCTTGTTGAAGAGCTGAGGAGCTTTGAGAAGAGCTGAGGAGCTCTGGGACAAGACGAAGAGCTTGTTGAAGAGCTGAGGAGGTCTGGGACGAGCAGAGGAGCTCGTAGAAGAGCTGAGGAGCTCGGCGAAGAGCTGAGGAGTTCGGTGAAGAGCTGAGGAGCTCGGCGAAGAGCTGAGGAGCTCGGTGAAGAGCTGAGGAGCTCTAGAACGAGCTGAGGAGCTCGGTGAAGAGCTGAGGAGCTCGGGGACGAGCTGAGGAGCTCGGTGAAGAGCTTAGGAGCTTTGGGACGAGCTGAGGAGCTCTGTGAAGAGCTGAGGAGCTCCGTGAAGACTGTTGAGGAGCTCGGGGACGAGCTGAGGAGCTCGGTGAAGAGCTTAGGAGCTCTGGGACGAGTTGAGGAGCTCTGTGAAGAGCTGAGGAGCTCGGTGAAGAGCTGAAGAGCTCTGTGACGAGTTTACGTTAACCCTTGTATGCGAGACTGATCTTGGCTTTATCGGATGCGAGCTTTCATGGTGGTGCGATGCACGGATTGCTCGGCTTGTCGACCCCTAACAACTGCTCACATTTTAAACCCGAATTTGGGAAGGTTTGAAATCCTTTCGTAACTTAAAAACTATTTTACAAATAAAACTTTTACATCATTTGATATAGAAATTGTTTAAATTTTCAAATTCAATTGTATTGGACATTAATGATTATCTAGTATAATACATAATTTATACAAGAACATACAAAATTAGAATTTGTGTGTAATATCAAATAACTCATCTTAAAGCTATACTCATCGGTTATCATATTTGTTTAAAAAATATATTTTTGAAAAACAAAAATCAGAATATATAATTAGTGGTTTATGGTTGCGCTATCATTCTAGTTCAAGTCCGCATATTACATATTTTTGAAAGAAAAAAAAATCGATGGCAAATCAGTTATTGGCATTTCAAAATTCAGAGATGTCCACAGAAATGAAAAAAAAAAAAACAAAATCTCATTATTGTTCTCTACATTAAAATGTAAAACGTTACGTGAGTTAGAGGCTTTTTTACTTTTTGCTGAGAGCCGTTAAATTCGTTGCTTTGCTACCACTAATACTCGCTGCTGTGTTCATCAGGAATGTATTCATAGTAGCAACAAGCATTAATGTTTATTAATTATTAGTAATAATATAATTTAAATATTTATAGATTCTTACACACATGAATGTGTATCGAGATTCCAAAGTGGAGATGCGTGTTTGTAACTGTTTCACAAAAAAATATTAGTATGATACTACTAAATACAATAAACTAGGTTTAGAAAAAGTCAACCATTTTTGTTTTGATAAAAGGTTCTTTAAAAGTCAACGACTTTGCACACTATTTTCTACCATTTTGAGACTGTCTTGACTTAACACGACTACTTGATCTTCTTTTAAGTAAGATTAACTTCAGCTTAATGTCAGGAAAATTATAGTATATAAACTAAAAGAATAATGGACCGACCATTAAAACCGACACATGGGTGCCACTCAATTAAATCCATGTTAATTTGGCTGTTCCTGCTTATAACATTTGCATGGAGACAATACGTTGGTTCGTTATTTAATTAATGAAAGATTGATTTTAAGTTGGGATAAAATAATAGGAACTTTGAAGGTTTTTGTTTAAAGTAATTAGCTGTCTTTGATATAATGAATAGCAATGTATCGAAGAGTTGGTATCTTCGAAGCCAGACCCTTCACAGCTGTCTTTAGGTCTCTATCGTTTTTGCTACTTATTTTGACGTTACTAACACCTGATATTGGATATGCACAGATTATTACTTTTCTAATCTTTTTTATAAGATGCACATTCTGTGTGTTTAGAACATTTTAATAAATAAAAACAACATTAACACAAACTACTAAATTATATATTTTGCTTAAAATTGAAATGATATAATTAAAAAAAAAAATTTTCACAAAAGGGACGGAAAAGAGTTTTTGTCTCACCATTTGACAAAGTGAAATTGAGTTTTCACGGATTGATAATTTGCCACTTTTCGGACGAAATTGCTCTTAACTACAAAAGTAACTGTGCTTGTTCGGTTTCTCTGGTTTTGTTTTATTATGATTTAATTTTTTTTTTAATTCAAAACAATTAAAGTGAAGAAGAACGACGAAGGAGAGAAGAGGAAAAATCTGAGTTGAAACCGGCGAATTCCGTTTTCCAATCTTCTATCTAATCTCTCATTCTTTATCTTTTATCCAGAGACGCTTCAAAATTCCGGCGAATTCCGTTTCGAATCCTCTTTAAATCTCTCATTCTACTTCGTTTTCCCGAGAAGAGCAAAAGCAAACAAATCTCCGACGACGAAGATACCAGAGTACAGATGACAGCGAAAAAAATGAAACTATTGAAGAAGAAGAGTCGGCGCCGCTCGAATGTAGTGAAAAGTTCAGAGAAGAGGCAAGTGAATAGTTCACCGGAGAAGGTAATCGAGATTCCGAGTAACCCGCCGGAGCCGGAGAGCACAAGTATGGGTAAGTATCTGTAAACACTGAATTCGATTTTAATTCGGGATGGGGATTCAGGAATCCAAAATCTGAGGATACTGATTTTGAATCGAAGATTTAGTCCCAAAGTGTTATAATCTTCTCGGCTGAAGAATATGAATACGTCAGAATACAATGATGATGATGTACCTCCACCTTCTCACAAGGTATTTGGTTTTCTATGTTACAGGAGGAAGAAAAAGATGGCCCTCAAACTTCTACTAAAGAAGCAGATATGTCTGACTCTAAAATTGATGGACTTGATTATGGTGTACCTTCTGACCAGGTATGTCGTGTACTACAAATAGTCAGATATTGTATTAGTGTACGTACATAAACATTTTAAATGTTTATGGTCTTTATTTCAGGAAAAAGTCAAATCTGATGGTATGAAGTAAGTTTCAAATATCTGAGGATGTTCTCCCCATAAAAGAGAAGAAATCTATCAAACGATGAGTTAGTTTTGATGAGGACGCTCATAAAACCGCCTCTACAACTGAAAATCTTGTAAGTTATAGAGGCTGTTATTTATAAATTTTGTACATATATCATTAAGGTTTTTAACATGATTTTAAATTAACTTAACATTATTGTTGTTTGCAGGAGGAACCAAAGAAGGATGCAGCTGTGGAAGGAAGTGATGCTCAAATTCATGATCGTGTACACATAGCAGTGAAGTATCTTTAGCACTAGATCTACACATAGCAGTTGCCTCATAGTAAACCCCACTATTCTGACTTTGTTTTTGAACTGAGCTTGTGTGAAATCTTTGACCATTCACTATATAACCAGTATATGATCTTGCACTACATCGGGGACCATATGCCAACCATTTAATAGTTTCTTCATGTTCAGCTGAAGCTAGAGGTATCTGCCAAATGTTTAAAATGAGAGTCAGACAATTATTAGTACATAACATAATCAAAATAACTTTCAGATAGCTGACTTGCCTCTTTTTTTAACCAAGATGCAAAATTCTTAGCATGCATATTCCATAAGAAACCAGCATCACGTCTACACCTTGGATCTGATTCTTGAAGATATTGCAGGTGCATGCTTGCAAAAGAGAAATACAAAAAGAAAATATCAGTCTGATATATTAACAGTGTAAATGACAAGGTATATGTATGAAACAAACAGAACTTACTCGACATATGGATCCAAGGCTGCAGTATTTTGAATGACAGCTAAATGGGCAATATTCTTCTCCATTTCAGTAAAAGTAAATGAAGATCCAGCAGATATAGGACGGCCTTCCAGTATAGAGTTGTTCACATACTCTAAATTCCTCTCTGGTTTTTCTTCTACACTTGTTGTCTTTTTCAGAAAATCACTACAGAACTGCATGCATTCTTGTGCGAGATATGACTCAGCAATACAACCTTCTGGTCTTGCAGGATTTTGTACAAAGTCTTTCATAACTTTCATGTACCTGCAAATCCAAAGTTATAACTTTTAGGAAGATCAAAGACAGTCAATACAAATCAAATTGTAGAATAAAGTACACTTAAACTATACCTCTCAAATGGGTACATCCATCTAAAATGGACTGGTCCTCCAAGGCGAGCTTCCCTTCCTAGATGTACAGTCAAGTGTACCATGATATCAAAGAAGCTGGGAGGGAAAAACCTTTCAAACATACAAAGAGTTTCCACAATTTCAGCTTCCATTACTGAAATAACCTCTCTATCAATAACTCTCTGACACAAATGGTTGTAGAATGCGCATAAGCGTAAGATTGCTGTCCTTGGACCTTTTGGTAACAAACCTTTAAGTGCAACCGGAAGAAGTTGTTGCATCAATACGTGATAATCGTGTGATTTGAGTCCTGTTACCTTACACTCCTCTAATGAACTCCTCTGGATATATTAGAACAATATCCATCTGGACCTTTAAAGTCAAATAGGCGCTTGCAAAATATTTTCTTCTCTGCCTTGGACAGTGACCATGGTGCTGCAGGAAGATATGTTCTCTTTCCTTGTGTGTTAGGATGCAGATCCTTCCGTATACCAAGATGTTGCAGATCTCTCCGTGCATGAAGACCGTCCTTAGAATTTCCACAATGCAACAATGTAGAGACAATGCTATAACAAACATTTCTCTCTACATGCATTACATCCAAATTATGCCTTACCGGGAGATCCTAAACAATAGAAAAACAGTACATAAGGATCCCAACTTAAGAGTACCTTAATTAAACAATTCTGAAAATAAAAACACTAATCATACCTCCCAATAAGACAACTTGAAAAGAATTGATCTTTTCTTCCATCTTGATAACTCCTCCTCATCCACTTTTATTTCCTCATCTTCCTCGGATTCACTGGATACACCATCACTATCAGAGACAGATTCAACACAGTCAATCCTTTTTCTCTTCTTCCCAGATTTTTTCACATTACCAAAGTCATTTTTGAAATTTTTCAGGTTTTGAAAAACTTCATGACCGGTCAAAATTCTACCCTTTCTCCCATGTTCAGCTTTTCCATCGAACCAAGTCTTCTTTTCCCTATACCTATGTGATGGTGCCAAACCCTTTCTATGACACATGAACACATGCTTTCTGCTATACTTCAACCACATACTATCAGTATTTTTTCCACATATAGGACATCCCATTTTACCTTTTACTTTGCAGCCAGCGAGGTTTCCATACGCAGGAAAATCACTAATAGTCCATAGAAGCATTGCCTTTAGAGTAAATGTAGTTTTACTAAATGCGTCATATGTTAACTCTCCCTTATTCCACAGATGGTTTAAATCCTCAATAAGAGGTTCTAAGTATACATCAATACTATTACCAGGTTGATGTGGACCAGGAATCAGCAACGTTAGCATGATGTTCTCCTTCGTCATACATAGGTGATGAGGCAAGTTGTAGTTTACTAACAAAACAGGCCAGCAACTATACTTACTGTTCTTCATGTTGAATGGATTAAATCCATCTGTTGAAAGTCCAAGCCGCATGTTCCGTTGTTCAGCTGCAAATGCAGGGTACTTGTCATTCATCTTATCCCATGTAACAGAATCTACCGGATGACGGAGTTTTCCATCACTGCTCTTGTTAGTATAATGCCACCTTAGGTTCTTGGCCATGTCCTCAGACCTGAACATTCTTTTCAACCGTGGGATTATCGGAAAGTATCGCAATACTTTTTGTGGGACTCCTTTCTTTACTTCACCATTGTGCATATTAATCTTCCACCGGGAAGCATTGCATTTGGGACATTTGTCGAGCTTCTTATACTTCTTTCTGAATAGGCAGCAGTCGTTTACACATGCATGAATTTTTTCATATCCCATATCAAAGCTCCTCAGAAATTTCTTGACATCATACAGTGATGTGTGAAGCACATTGTCCTTGGGCAGCATGGCTGGCAATGTCTCAAGCAGTTCATTGAAGCTCTTGTCAGACCAGCCGTTGTTTGTCTTTATCCTAAACAGAGTCACAATAGCGGACAGCTTGCTGTGATTTGAACAACTTGGATATAATGGTGTTTCAGCATCAGCTAGCTTTGCGAGGAACTCATCTTCTCTCTTGTCCTCACCCTCTGCAATCTCAGCTAATTCAGCCTCTGGAATATCACCTAATCCAGCCTTACTAGCCAGCTCTTCATCAAAAAACTCAGCAGCTTTGTATAACTCCAAAATTTCCTCATTCCAGTCATTTACATTGCTGCTTTCACCTTCAGCCACTGAGTTCACGTCTCCATGGTGATACCAATCAACTTGCATCTTGTAAGCCTCATCCATCCCCTTAGTTACAAGGTGAACTACCACATCACTGCCTAACTGTCGTTCTACATTACGACAGTCTTTGCAGGGACATATTATCATGTCAATGTCACCTAACGCCGCAGCCACATCCCGTACAAATTTCCGAGCACCTCTCTCATAACCAGGATCAGCTCTTCAATGAAGAAGTAAAAGGAAAAAAAGAACTCTTAAAATAACCAATCCCCATATGAAACCTAACCTATATAATGTACTGTCTTACCTGCATAGATGCACCCATGACTTGTCCAACATTATATGGTCTAAGCTTAATTAAAACCTTAGTATCAACAATTCAAACCAAAAGCAAAATTAAAAGAGTGTTCCAGTTAAGACAATAACTCAATCAACCTCAGACCACATCACAAATACATGCTCTTACACCAATATTTATCAAACCAATCTCATATCATGTTCAGAAAATTAAGAAAGTAGACAATGGTAAACACACATTAACAAATTACAGTATCTCAACCTAAACACAAAACAACAGTCAAAAAATTTGTCAAGAACAAATAAACAAAGTCTGAAATTGTCTATAGCCTAATTACACAACCTCAGCCATAAAAGAAAACAACAAGACATAACAACAACTTTAACTATTATACAGCTCATAGTTTAAGGACAGACAAAAAGAATAACAACAAGAAAATAACAGCAGATAATTTGGTTACCTGTCGTGGCTGTCCAACAACAAGAAAAGCTTCAGTTCCCCATCATTGCAATCTCCCTCACATGAAAATAGCATAATCAGTCTACATTTAAGCAATAATTAAAGCATCTAAAGATAATTTCAGACTTTGTTTAAAGCATAAACAATCTTACAAAACAGAAAGAACTTGACATGCATTGAGAGAACATATACAACAGATCAAATATGTACCCAAATCTGTAACTCAAATACCCAAATCTATAAACTTCTCAATTACCCGAAACCCTATTTTCAATCAAAATCCAATTCGTTAGCTTGAGAAACAGATCAATGCATATAAACCCTAAAATCGCAAAGAAGAATTAAAAAAAAAAAAGAAACATATCATTGCATATGAACCCTAGCTAAAATCGATAATTTGAAACAATGCAATCATATCTAAACCCTAAAATCGCAAAGAGCAATTCAAAATCACATGGAAAAGAGAGTAAGAAGGAAATTAGAGTAGGGAAGAAACACTTGCCTTCGATTTTAGCTCACTGGCGGCGGAGCTGAAGAATGTGTCTGCGGAGGAGCACGATTTTATGGCCGGCGACAAGGTCAGTAGTTTTGGCTAGGCTTGGAATCGATTTTGTTTTGACAGAATTCACTGGGATTCGAAGGAACTCGTGGATCTGAGAGTTAAACTCTGAAGACTGACCTGGTTCTGTTTCGCGAAGTGTGAGGGAAAATAAAAGACAAAAGGCGCTTAAGTGAACAAATTTTTTCTAAGTGTTGGCGGTATAGGTCAATTTTGTTTCCCGCTTAAGTATTTTCGGTCTTAGCATTTATTAGGTGCTATTAAAAGGTAACCAAAATCACGAACTCATCTATTATAGCAGTTCAGGAAAATGCGCTATCGTCTAGTGCTATCAATGTGGACTTTTTTTGTAGTGTGTACTCTCCACTAAATCAGTTCAAACAAAAGTAACTTATGTGGAGGATCCAGACCATCCTGATGGTTTTGGCTTAAATAAGAAACGTTTGTAACTAACGAAATGGTTAGTTCGAAAGGGTGCAACGCTTGAGATACGAATTATGTAACCATCTATAACCGTTTGTGGTGTAAGGTATACGTACACAGACAAGATCAAAAACCGTACATAGTTATACGATGTCAAATATTAACATACACAGAATAAACTTTGGTACACAAAGTACATACATAAACGTACACTGTCAACATGTCGACAAAAAACAAACACACAAAGCTAAATTGGATTCTTAAAAGTCTTATTGTTATGACCTTCTTGTCTACATCTTGTACACTGATTCGGAATAAGTCTTTTCTGTCTTTTTTTCTGAACTTGAGAAATAACAAAAGTTAACAACAAATCATGTATATAGACATAGCATAGATATAGTCAATAAGTGTACAAGTTAAAATGATATAACTTACCCGGTTTTCACCCCTAGATGGTATCCTTTTGCAGGTTGGTCTCCCGAGTGGTCGTCTACTGTGTGGAGGAATAAGTATAATTTCCGATATATTTTGTGGAATGACAACATCCTTTGGATCCGCGATAGGTAGAATCGGACCTTGAAAAGAATCGGAAAACGTTTGAAGGCTATACCACAAACCAACAACAGTTTTTGGATTAATCCCAAACTGTAATGCAACTGCTAGACCGTGTTCACATGGGATTCTTAACCTCGTGTACCTAAGACACGTACGCGTACACTCGTCGAGTACGACATGGAAATGCTCACCAGACTTGCTTGTAACCTAATAACTCCAAGGTCTCGACATCTTCAGCGAATTTCTCAAACTCAGGTAAATCTTGGAGAAAACGCTCATCAACCTCAAGCGTCACTAAAGATTTACACTTAGCCACTTTTTCCCTCCTGGCTGCGAACCACCGCATAAGGACCTCTCGAATGAACTCTATCATGTAGACAATCGGATATGATTTTGCTTTTGTTAAGACGTTATTTATAGACTCCGAGTTGTTGCTAGATATGATATTTTAGCGTTCCCCTTTGTAGTGAGCTCTTGTCCAATGCTCAAATCTAATTTCCTCTAAGTAATTTGCGCATCCAGGACTTTTGCCCCTTAACTCTGTAAATTATTTATCAAAATCCCTCACCCTATATGCTTTTGCGGCGCCGAAGAATAATCTCAAAATACCATACTTACTATAATACGTGGATATATTTCGCTCAAGGTGTACTACACATGCTCCATGATGAGCTTTCGGGAACACAACACTGAGTCCTTTGTATATAGAAGAATGCATGTCCGAGACAATCATTAAATCTTCATTGTCTGTCTAGTGTAAGCACATTGGTGCAATCCATGTTGACATGTCTGGGTTGGATTCACTGTTGGCTGACTGTCACCGAAAATAGCACTGGTTTCTCCTGTACGTACACGTTGACTTGTGTACGTACACTCTGCCAATAAACGACTGAATTCCCCTGGCAGTTCAACGGTCGGTTGAGTGTCACATACGTCCTCCTCAACATGCCAAACTCCATATTCTTCTACAATCAAATCATTCCACTTGTTGTACTCGTAATCTTCACCACTACCTTCACTGCCGTCTATAGTAGGGTCGAGAGTACTGCCCGCACTATATCCACCATTGTCATCGTCATCTTTATCAATGTTGTCGTCGCTGTCATTCAAGTCTTCCCCATCCACCTCTTCGTTCTCCTCACCCTCTGAATCTTCATTTCTTTTTTTGTCCTCTGCGTCATTTTATTCATCTACATCCGCATTAGTCACATCCACATTAGAAGGCTCTACCATGGTTTTTGGTGAGTTTTCACTCCCTGACCTAGGGTTGGTTTCAGAATCATGGCCATCCATCGTAGATATACTCTTTTCCAGTACCTTTACTTCCGTTTATAGTCGGTTCCAAGACATTCTCCTACTTGACTCATCGTCATCATCATCGTCCTTCTTCTCATCCTCTTTTTTCTCTTCGTCGTCCTCATCCTCTTTTTGTTTATCCTCTTTATTGTCATCTACTTCTTCTTCCCCATATACTTTCTCATTGTTTTCATCCACATTTAGAGCCTCCAATATGGTCTTTGTTGGATTTTCACCCCGAACCATGTTAGTTTCATCGGCCAAATCCTCCATCATGCATACACTATTTACACCACCCTTTATGGATTGGACAAAATGACATAAACATGTTTACACTTAGACCTCCACTATGAATAAAAAGAATGTATCCAAGTTCACTTGTCTATGATAGTTGTACTTATCTTCCTACAAGTCCCCACACATGGGACAGCGACACAATTTTCTCTGTCACGATCACTACCTCGTCTCTCACGTACACATTACTACATGTTTACGTACATAATCACCAATTACGTACACCGTTCAGATATTTTGTCAGTTCCGGGTTCAGTTCTTATTTTTCGAATAGGTTTGGTTTGATTCTTTAGTTTTAGGTATTTTTTCAGGTTTAGTTCGTACATGGTTTGAATGTTTTATTTTATGTTCAAAAAATATTTTAAACTTAAATATACAAATTATTTAGATGTTTATGTATATATATGCACACAAATTACTACCGTGTACGTACACATGAGTACATGATATTGTTAATCTCGAATTGTTTTCAACAACACGATTAAATTAAGAAATAAATTATTATTCAAAGTTAAAATATATGAAAATGGGTCTTAGAAGATAGAAAAAAAAATAAATTTTAACTAAAAGTACAAAAATAATAAATCTATATAAAATTGAAATAAGAGAAAAATGTGAAAACAAAAGAAGGTGAATAATAATAATAATCTTATTATATTTTTATATTTTATATTTTTTATTTTTGTTTTTTACACTGTAGCTAACGAGACTGTACTGTACATAACGCGTGTACTGTAGCTAACGAGATACTGTGTACGTAACCAAACCGTTTAACTAATTCGTCCATTGTGATTGTACACTGGTTTCGCTGGGAAGGTAAATTCGTCCAAAAATGACATAATTGTCAAAACATGAAAGCTCTCCCCCACTTTGTCAAAACGTGAAAGAAAAACATAGTCAATGGGCCTGCCCCGTAATTAACCCATTAAAAAACGTATCTAATATAAAAGTTTGATCAACATGTAATGTAGAATCATCTAAAATTTGATATTTATATTGAAGGAAAATGAACACTTTCCATATGGAATCAACTTCATTACTACTTAAGAAAATAAAAAGAACTTCCGAATTAGTCTAAATTAATAGAAGAAAGTGAACCCAATATATTATCACAATTTCCATTGAATTTATTATTATTGTTGTAGAACTAATTATTCGTACTGGTGCATTACAAGCTGGTATGTACGATTTGGTTACTTTGTTCGGGTCAGCAAAGGAATCTGGCAATTGATTAGCTAGCTTTTGATAGTGTATAATCTTTTGGATCTCTGAATCACATTCTAGAGTCCGAGGATCTTGCCAATTTAAGGATCATTAAACGCTTGGGAAGTGAATTCACCAGCATTATCAAGACGTATAGTCTTTAGTGGGAAGTTTGGAAAGTGGGCTCGTAATCTGATGATTTGAGCCAACAACCTAGCAAAAGCTTGGTTCCGAGAAGACAATAGGCAGACATACGACCAACGGGTCGAAGCGTCTATTAGTACCATGAAGTACCGGAATGTCCCAGAAGGTGGGTGAATGGGACCACAGATGTCTCTTTGGATTCTTTCCAGAAAATGTAATGTCTCTTTGGACACTTTTACTGGTGAAGGCCGGGTGATCAACTTCCCTTGGGAGCAAGCTGTGCACGTGAGGTGCTGAGGGAAGACTCGGTTTTCTCGAAGGGTGTGTCCTTGAGAACTTTGGATTAATTTACGCATCATGGTTGTACCGGGATGACCAAGCCGGTCGTGCCAAATAGTGTAGTCTTGGAACCGGGCTTTGAGAGCATTATTAGCCTCAATCATACTGACCTTAGCATAGTAAAAGCCAGTAGATAATGCGGGTATAGTCTCGAGGACTTGTTTATGGCCAAGTGTGATCTTAGTGATCAGTAGGGATTCTTTGTTCCCTTCACCCTGGGTTTCTATGTGGAAACCATTAAGTCTGATATCTTTAAAACTTAAAAGGTTTCTTTTTGAGCTGGGTGAGTATAATGCATCTGGAATGTCCAGATGTGTGCCGTTTGATAACAACACATGGGCCTGGCCGTGGCCTTCTATTAAGTTCGAGGTACCCGCTATTGTGCTAATATTCGCGGTTTGCATGATTAAATTTATGAAATAACTCTTGTCTTTGAGGATAGTGTGGCTGGATCCACTATCCACCACTATGATATCCATTTGATTGTTCATATCTTCAATTAAACAAGAGGTATGATTTAAAATTGAGTAAATCATAAAATTCATAAATTAATAAAATATCAAAATGTCTGAAAATAAATAGCAAATGAAAAATAAAACAAATCCCCAAAATGAAAAGAAACAAAATCAAAATAAGCAAGTGTTCAGATGATAGAATCAATCGAGGAGATCTGAGATCTCGTAGTCCATGGGATCGGTCGGCTCGGTGGTGGTGTCGTCATCATCAACTTGCTGAGCCATGTTAGCTTCAGCAGGTGCTTTCCCATGTTTCTGATACAAATCGCAATGAAACTTGGGAGTACGACAGTTCTTTGTCCAGTGATTGAACATTCCGCATCTGGTGCAGGCAGACTGATTGGTTGGGTGGGCAGGGCGGTTTGGTTTAGAGATACCACGGCCCTTACCGGAACCATAACCGAGGTTATGTCGGTTGCCACGTCCATTTCCGCGTCCACGCTTTCCACGTCCATTCCCACGTCCATTCCCATGTCCACGGCCACGATCTGAGGATCTGTCTCGCTGGACATTGTAGGATTCTTTGCGGGAATCTGGTACTGGAGCCGATCCCGGGGGTCTCTGGGCACTGTTCCTCATTAACAGTTCGTTGTTTTTCTCGGCCAAGAGCAAACAAGATAACAAATCTTCGTACAATGTATGTTTCATTGCACGATATTGCTGCTGAAGCACAATGTTTTGGGTATGGAAGGTGGATAATGTTTTCTCGAGGAGATCATTATCAGACACCTCTTCACCACATAGTTTCATGATTGAAACTATCCGAAAGAGTTCGGAGTTGTAGTCATCCACAGATTTGTAATCTTGGAACCGGAGTTCCTTCTAGTCAAACTTGGCTTGTGGCAAGAGCACAGATTTGTGATCATACCGTTTTTTCAGGGCCACCCAAAGTTCGAGTGGGTTCTCAAGAGTGAGATATTGCTGTTTGAGGCTCGCGGCCAAATGATGGCGGATATGAAATATCGCCTGGGACCGGTCTTTATCAGATGCGGTGTTATCCGCTTTGATACACTCACCCAGTCCCTTTGAGTTGAGGAAAATCCTGGTGTCCAGGGCCCATTCGAGATAGTTTTCACCGGAGACCTTGAGGGCCTCGAACTCGACTTTCTGAATGTTTGACATCTGAAAACATGAAATTGATTTCATTGGGGTTTGTTATTTGAGGAAAGTTTCTAATTTGGGAAACTTTCTAAATGAGGAAAGTTTCTATTTTAGGAAACCTCCTAAATGAGGAAAATTTCTATTTGAGGAAAGTTTCTAATTTGGGAAACTTTCTAAATGAGGAAAGTTTCTATTTGAGGAAAGTTTCTAATTTGGGAAACTTTCTAAATGAGGAAAGTTTCTATTTGAGGAAACTCAGGTCTAAAGGCTTTTTAGGTTTGGATTCCTCCTCAATATAGTTAGGTCTTAGTGAATTAGTTTCGTAATTACACTAATTTTTTTATTCTAGCTAATTTATAATTTGACCTCATAACTTTTTTTCTAACTAATTAAAATTTAAAAGACCTCAGAACTCATATTATCCTTAATTTTACAATATAAAACGGTAAGCATTCTTTTGTTTTTATTAAAGCAAAAAAAGGTTAGCATTCCTTAAGTTTTTTTCTTTGAAAAAGGTCGTAGGCCAAAGTTTCCATTTCTCAAACGGGCCTGCCTTTATATAATTGAGAAGACGGAAAGATAAATTCTTTAAAAGTTACAAGATTTAAACGAAAGTGTTATCGTGGAAAAAGACATTCGGTGGACACTTCGTAATGTCTATGTCTTTTTCGTACCACAAAAACATAAAATACGAAGCCCAAAGTTAGGCCTTAAACGTGGGCTCAATATAATGTCTATGTATATAGGAGATGTGCCCGCAAACAATTCTACAAAAAATAAGTCTTATGAATAACCTTTTCTTTCCAAACAATTTTGAAAATTTATAAATGTTAACTGACCTACACCAGACACTAGCTCAGCCACTGCCAGGGGCGGACGTAACTCGTAAAGGTGTTTGAAGGTGGAGCATGTGCTGATGTGCCCCATATTAATTTATAATTTTGTGTGTAATTAATAAAGTATATGATAAAATTACTAATTAGAATATTTGGTTGAGTTTTTTTAACGTTTTCTAAAATTTAGTTTAAGCAAATTTTACTTCTTTGATGTGTTTTTTTTTCCTTTTATGTTCTATTTGTTCTCCAAATATTTCATTAAATTAGTTATATCTTCTTCTCATATTTTTGTGTGGTTAAATATTCTTTTTATTTTTCGCAAAATAATGTATTTCTTATATTTCATTTAGTTAATCATAAAGTGTTTAAATATTAGGTATAAAATAAAAAAATTAAAAATATTAGGTACTTTAAATTAAATTTATAAAAAAATATTATGCCTTTTGTAAAATATTTTTCTTGATCCGCCACTGGCTGCATCATTCCCATTGATGGCAGCGAAACTATGAGGTAACAAACTTTTTTTTTGGGTGGGTTTATCTTAGTTTTATATGTCTACAATATCAGTTTAATAATTATCATTAATAATTTTGTGTCTGTTATTTCTTTTTTTTTGTAGCTTGTTCCGTTCAGCTGTTTAGACGTAATTCAATATCTGTGTATCGTGTTCCGTTTAGTTTAGGTGAGTCATGAAGAAGATTTTTCACAACTTATTCCTCACGCCAACCACAACGTGCAAGAACACTGGTGACCACCTAGATCCATTAGCAAAAGAGCATGGTTCAGGATTCCTAACCGGAAGTGAGGTGTGTACAATCCTTTTCAGTAACATCTTTAGTCACCAATCAAAGCATCGACATTTGAGTAACATCAAAAAAGAAAAGACAAACGTATGAATTATAACCAAAAACTTTATTTTCCCTATTGCACCGTATGTCACTAAACAAAGTGGTTCACTTTCTATGTCATTCATCAATTTGTAAATGTTTGGTTGACATAAGTACTCTTTATTAACCATGGACTAATATTACGTCCTAAATATGCTTATGTCATGTTGTGTCTTTCATTTAAGACTGAAAATTGAAAACTACTAGACATTAATCATATTAAATATTCGGCACATGAAAAACAAATGCTAGCCCTAAACCAAAGATAGGCACATGTCACATGTGCATTGGTAGAGAGAATGGCCAAGTAATCAAAAATATCATATTATTTGAAAATATCAACGTGGCTCATGGAAAGTATGGACATGTGACATAGATTTGTCGACAACCAAACGTGCAAGAAACAAAACAAACATTTGTTCCTATAAATTTTCGTATGTCGAATCTTAGGCCAAAGCAAAATCACATTTCTTCTTTAACAGAAAAACACACACGCGCGCACACACAATTGTCTTGACGAAGAGAGAAAGAAATGGAATCTCATGTCGTTTATAACGAACAGAAACCCCACGTAGTTTGCGTGCCTTATCCGGCTCAAGGCCACATCAACCCTATGCTGAAACTGGCTAAAATCCTTTACGTCAGAGGCTTTCACGTCACCTTCGTCAACACCATCTACAACCACAACCGTCTTCTTCGATCCCGTGGCCCAAACGCCCTCGATGGGCTTCCTTCGTTCCGGTTCGAGTCCATCCCTGACGGTTTACCAGAGACCAACGTGGACGCCACGCAAGACATCACTGCCCTGTGCGACGCTGTCAAGAAGAACTGTCTCACTCCATTTAAGAAGCTTCTCCAGCGGATTATCTCCCAACAGAACGTTCCTCCGGTGAGCTGCATTGTGTCAGATGGTACAATGAGCTTTACCCTTGACGCTGCGGAGGAGCTTGGTGTACCGGAGGTTCTTTTCTGGACCACAAGTGCTTGTGGCTTCATGGCTTATCTACACTTTTATGTCTTCATCGAGAAGTGTCTGTGTCCATTAAAAGGTACATGTTAGTGATTTAATTGACGTTATAATACTAAGTTTAACCTAAAAAAGCTTTAGGTACCACAACTACGGTAAGAGCATGTGCAATGGTAAGAGACCCATTAAGTTGTTGTGAACATTCAAATAGTAACAAACTTGAGGTGAACTAGACAGTAGATATATGAAATTTAATTTGTATAAAGGTTTATTTTTGTGTGGGTTCGAATTTTTGTTCATGATCTTTGAAACCTAAACTGCATAAACATGGAAACTTGATCACGACCAAGAAAAAAGAGAAAAAGATAACGAAATTTTCAAAACAAAACTGAGAAAAAAATTCAAAGAGATGATTTAAGAAAAATAAAAATAAACAACGCTTAAACATTAATACAACTAGGTTATGAACCTCCCCGATATCCCGGAGAACTCATTTTCAACAAATATATTTTATTGTGTTTATGTATAAAATTATTATGATAATATATTAAAATATTTGAATTATTACATAAAATTAACTATGTCTTAAAGTTATATCGTAAACATTTTTCAAAGATGTTAAAACAATTTATGAATAAAAATGTAAAACAAATTAATTATGATTAAAAACACTTTTGAACCATTTTTTATGAATATAAAATTATTTATAAGTGACAAAATACATAACGAAAAGTTATAATATAGAGATGAGAAATTATAGCGGGTCAAAACCAAAAAGACATAAAAAACACAACGGAACAAAAACCGTCAACAAAAAAAGTAACCGACAATATTTTAACGAAGAGTTGCGATAAAAAGACATAACCGATAAAAAATAACCGTCAATATTTTAACAGAAAGTTACGAAAAAAAGATACAACCGAAAAAAAATAACCATCAACAAAAAAAGTAACCATGAATATTTTAACGAAGAGTTGCGATAAAAATAAACAACCAAAAAAAATACCCGTCAATATTTTAACGGAAAGTTGCGATAAAAGACACAACCGAGAAAAAATAACATGTCAATATTTTAACGGAAAGCGGCGATAAAAAGACACAAAGGAAAAAAGTAACAGCCAATATTTAATGGAAAGTTGCAATAAAAAAAGACAACCGAAAAATAACCGTCCACAAAAAAGTAACCCTCAATATTTTAACGAAGAGTTGAGATACAAAACACACCGAAAAAATAGCCGTTAATATTTTAACGGAAAATTACGAAAAAAAGATACAACCGTTCAGAAGTGCAAAATGCATTTATTGAGATTGTTATTTTGGTTAATAAAACTAATTTTATATGTAGTCTAATGGTTAATGTAAAAAATTTGTAGTATTACTAAGTAATCATAAAATGCAATGAAATTATATAATGGAAAAACGTTACTTTAAATGAATAAATGCAACTATAAAGATATAACCGTAAATAGAAAAGATACGACTGTAATTGAACACATATAACTGTAAATAATTCAACGAAAACTCAAAGAGAAAATTCAATAAAAAGACACAACCGTATAAAAATAACCGTAAATATTTAAACGAAAGGTTGCGATAAAGAGACGCAATCGTTCAAAAGTACAAAAGACATTTATTAAGATTGCGATTATATATAGATTAGGCCAATATCATTCCTAACAAAAAAAATTAGGCCAAGTTCATTATCGAGGCCACTGTCTTTCGGTCATATGAATGCAATTAGGCCACTATCATTATCGAGGCAACTGTCTTTAGGCCAATCTCTTCGGACTTTGAAGTTACTCTATTTATGTCGTGTCCTATATTTAATCATATAGACAAATATATGCTTATGAAAATGCCAAATTTTGTGTCATGCGTTTTTTACTAGAGACTAAACAAATAAATGGTGATGGATTTGGCAGATGAAAGTTACTTGACGAAGGAGTACTTAGATACAGTTATAGATTGGATACCGTCTATGAAGAATCTAAAACTAAAGGATATTCCTAGCTTCATTCGCACCACTAATCATGATGACATTATAGTTAACTACGCCATCCGTGAGACCGAGCGAGCCAAGCGCGCTTCTGCTATCATTCTAAACACATTTGATGATCTTGAACATGATGTCATCCAGTCTATGCAATCCATTTTACCTCACGTTTATTCAATTGGACCACTTCATCTGATAATGAACCGGGAGATTGATGAAAATAGTGATATAGGAAAGATAGGATCAAATCTATGGAAAGAGGAGATGGATTGTTTGGATTGGCTTGATACTAAAACTCGAAATAGTGTTGTTTATGTCAACTTTGGGAGCATAATGGTAATGAGCGCGAAGCAGCTTGTAGAATTTGCTTGGGGATTAGCGGGATGTGGGAAAGAATTTTTATGGGTGATCAGGCCAGATTTAGTAGTGGGAGAGGAGGCGGTAGTTCCCCCGGATTTTTTAACTGAGACAGTAGACCGGAGAATGCTAGCAAGTTGGTGTCCTCAAGAGAAAGTTCTTTCTCATCCCTCGATCGGAGTGTTCTTAACACATAGTGGATGGAACTCGACGTTGGAAAGTCTTTCATGCGGAGTTCCAATGGTTTGTTTACCGTTTTTCGCAGAGCAACAAACGAATTGTAAATTCTGTTGTGACGAATGGGAGGTGGGTATGGAGATTGGTGGAGATGTGAGGAGGGAAGAGATTGAGACGGTGGTTAAAGAGATGATAGATGGAGAGAAGGGAAAGAAAATGAGAGAGAAGGCAGAAGAGTGGCGACGCTTGGCGAAGGAAGCAACGGATCATAAGCATGGTTCCTCGATTGTGAATTTGGAGACGGTTTTAAGCAAGGTTCTTTTGGGACAGAGATTAGAGTAATCTAAATAATAATAACAATCTCAATAAATGTCTTCTATGGTTGTGTACAATCCGAATAAATGTCTTCTACAGTTATGTCTTTTTATTGTAATTCTTCATAAGATATATATTTTGATTTTTAAATTATTAAAAATTATCTTTTACGGTTATGTCTTCTCAGAAAGTTGCATCTATTCATTTAGAGTTGTGTCTTGTCATTATGCTTTATTCGTATTTTTCGTCACAACTCTTCTTTCAAATAGTTGTGTCTTTTACAAACAATTATGCCTATTCAAAGTTTAAACATTCATGCATTTTAACTCTATATATAGTTTTCATTCTATAATAATAACAATCTGTATTAATTCCTTCTATGGTTGCATTTTTTTTATCGTAACTCTTCGTAAGATATATATTTTAATTTTTAATAATTTGAAATATACTTTTGACGGTTGTGTCTTTTCAGAAAGTTGTATCTATTTATTTAGAGTTATGCCTTTTCACTATGCTTTTTTTTTTTTTTCGTTTCGTTAAAATATATTAGAATGAAGAAGTATTCATTACAACACAATCTTGAACACATTCAAGATGTAGCCAGCTTAGATAAAGGATCACACTCATCTAAACCTCCAAAAAATTAGTCATAAGCAAAAACAAAGGATCAGAAGCGTTAAGGAACAACCAAGGCAAGTCTCTCTTCTTCAAATAAACCATGCAATCAACCAGGATGGCCTGCCGCCACATAATCCTGAAATCTTCCATCGGAAGTAACACTTTGTGCAATAAGAGAAGAACCTCTATTTGAAACTGCACTTTCAACCTCCAATTTCCAGTCCTTAAACTTCTCCAAAAAATGGTTAATCTCCACAACCTGGTGACTGAAAGAAGGCCATGCTTTAGGTCTCGCCATAGCACTAAAAATATCATGAGCCTGAGCCGCAAAGATAACTTTATTCATCTTTAGACTGAACATGCTCTCCATGGCCCAAGTCAGACACATAAGCATAGCCTCTTTCTTGCTGTTTAAACCACAAAAAACTTTCCTACTATGTACTATAACCTTGCCATCCACCCCTCTCACTACCCAAGCACCACCCCCCAACCAATTCCTGTTAGACCAAGATAGAGAAATGTTACACTTGCTCCACGAAGCTGGTGGTGGTTCCCACTTTTTACCCTTAGAACCCGAGTATCTTCCCAGCTCTTCTTCCACACTTTGAACAACATTTTGAGCCAACAACCACTCATCAACATCATCCCAGATTTTCCTCATTGAATCTTGTGGACAGAAACAAGTACCTTCAAAAAAGAACTTATTTCTATTCTTCCACAATCTCCACAACACCCAAGGAAAACAACTCTTGGATCTCAAATCCAATCTTTTATCCAACGAGAAGTCAAACAAAGATTGAAAATTCGCATAAAGAGAACTCATCCCAAAACCAAAACGAGGACAAGGAAGGCCAGAGAGAGCCCAAACCTGTCTAGCCACAGTACAAGTGAAGAGAACATGGTTAACCGATTCTGTCTCTTCACCACAGGTTTGACATCTCTTATCCGCCTCCATACCTCTATGTATCAGCTGCTCAGCAACAGATAAAGCCCCACTTAATGCTCTCCATAAAAATATTCTGATCTTAGGGACTGTTTTAATAGACCAGATTTTTTCCTTGAGCTTATTAATGGATGGTTGCATTCTAACCTGCATCAAGAATTCAGCTTTGTTGACTTCACATGCCAGCACATACCCTGTCTTCACCGTATAATCACCACTCTTTGTATTCTCCCAAGAGTAGAAATCATCCCTGTCCACAGCAGGTTTTTGTAGCAGTATACGCCCAATATCATTAGGAAAAAAGTGTTCCTCCAAAGCCTCTCTGTTCCAGCTTTTACTCTCCCTATCAATCAGTTCCACCACTTTCATATCATAATTAATGATTGGATATTTTATGTAAGTAGCTCTCATCTCATTGTCATAGACCCACGAATCCATCCAAACACTTAGGGACTTACCATTGCCCACCATCTTCCTTAAACCTTTGGTTAACAATTCTCTACCATGAATGATGCTTCTCCAACCAAAGGAAGGCCTTGGACCAATCTTAGCTTCCAAAAAATCTGCCTCCTCAAAATATCTGCTTTTTAAGACTTGAGCAAATAAACAATCCGGGTCCTGAACACATCTCCATGCTTGTTTGGCTAATAAGGCTTGATTAAAACACTCAATATCTCTGAACCCTAAACCTCCATCTTCCTTAGACAAACACAACTTATCCCAACTTACCCAGTGAATCTTTCTCTTATGTTCTAGCGCACTCCACCAAAAATCACTCATCGCACTCGTCAGATTCTGACAGGTGGTCTTGGGTAGTTTAAAGCATGACATCGCGTACACGGGCATGGCCATAGCCACTGCTTTCTGCAGAATTTCTTTCCCACCCATAGATAGGGACCTAGCAAACCAACCAGAGAAACGACATTTGAGACGATCTTTTATGAAATCCAGCATCTCTATCTTGGATCCAGAGAAATATTCGGGCAACCCCAAGTAAGAACCAGCACCTCCTTCATTGGAAATCCCCAACTGAGATTTAATATCCTCTTTAAGACCCTCATCAACCTTCACCCCAAAGGTGATAGATGACTTCTCATAATTGATCCTTTGACCCGTGGCTTCCCCATATTCTTTAAAGATCTCTTTAATGACACTCACCTGCTCTGAATTAGCTTTGCAGAGGAATAAGCTATCGTCAGCGAAAAGTAAGTGATGCACCGATGGTCCTCCACAAGAAAACTGAATCCCATTCAAAAGACCTTGTCTTTCCGCTCTATTCATCAAGTGAGTCAATCCTTCAGTGCATAAGACAAAAAGGAAAGGGGACAGCGGATCCCCCTGTCTTAAGCCTCTTCCCGGCTTGATCATCCCATATGGCTGGTCATTAATAAGAACAGAAAAGGAAACAGAAGTCACACAGAATATGATCCAACTAACCCATTTCTTGTGAAAACCCAGAGCATTCAGCAAAGCCAGGAGGTAAGACCATTCCACTCTGTCATATGCCTTAGACATATCAGACTTGACTGCCATGAACTGATTTGAAATTTGAGGATGAGTCCGCAGTCCATGCACCAGTTCATGAGCAATAAGTATATTGTCAGAAATCAGTCTATCAGCGACAACGGCTGACTGATTAGGTGAGACAATATCATCCAACCATGGCTGCAATCTTCTAATCAGGATCTTAGAGATTGTCTTATACAGAACAGAGCACAAGCTTATGGGGCGCAAATCTGACATCTTCTCAGGGACCTTCACCTTAGGCAGTAAGCATAACAAAGTGTAATTCCACTCAATGGGAAACACATCATTGATGAAGAAACTGTGAATTTCAGAAGTTACTTGCGCACCAATAACTGACCAGTACTTCTGGAAAAAAAGACCAGAAAATCCATCGGCTCCAGGAGCACTAGAAGGTCTAATAGCAAACACAACTTCTTTAATTTCCTTGTCTGTAACCTTAGAGATCAGAGCACTGTTCATACCATCGTTTACTCTAGGCTGGAAATCATGAAAGAGATCATGGAAATTACCGGGCAAAGAAGAAGTGAACAAATCGCAGAAATAGGCTTGAGCAATGGATCCCTTAGAAGCCTCAGAAGACTGCAAGTTTCCATTAATGTCCATCAGTTTATCCAATCTTTGCTTGCCTCTATCCGTTTTAACAGAAGCTTGAAAAAACTTGGAATTTTTATCACCTTCATTCATCCACTTTTGTCTACTCTTTTGACTCCAAAAAATTTCCTCATCTTTGTACGCTTCACACAGACTTCTTTTTAGCCCTGTCACTACCCGCAGTCTCGGATAATTAGAAGACTGTTCTTCCTCTAAACCAATTTGAGCTTGAGTGATTCTATTCACAGCATTCAAATTATTAGCTCTCTTTCTTCAGCCTATCAGAAACCTTTTCATCCTTGTTCCTATAACCTCCTCTCCAAGCCCTTTGAATAGCCTCTTTAACTTCTGGTTTGTTCAGCATCCTCTTATCAAACTTAAAGTTACCTCTGTAGACCTCTTTAGTAGTTGTGAGTCTAACTAAAACAGGTCTATGGTCAGAACCTCTCTTATCCAAGAAGGTTTGATTAGCAATAGGGAAGAATTGGAACCAGGCTTTATTCCCAAAGCATCTATCAAGTTTACTTTGAATCCACAAATTTCCTCTCATCCCTCCCCAAGTCAGACTGTTCCCCTGACTAGGCAGCTCATTCATCCCATAAGCATGAAGCATGTCTTTGAAAGGAAGGAAGGATGCATCACCTCTTCTAGGTCCCCCCAACTTCTCTCCATTATAAATGATGGCGTTAAAATCGCCTACCATACACCAGCAGTCCTTTCTTTGGATACCAATCCTAGAAATTCTTTCCCACAGAATCGGCCTATCCACAGAAGCAGGTTTCCCATACACACAAGACACGAAAAACTCCACTGAACCAAACTGTACAAACAAATCGATTAGATTCTTATCCGCATATTTGATCTCCACATTTACACCTTTCTTCCAAAAAAGAGCAAGTCCACCACTTAATCCAACTGGATTAACAGTAAAGACTCTTTCATACCCCAGCCACTCTTGCAAATCTACAACCACATTCCAACAGTTTTTTGTTTCCATCAAGAACAATAACTCAGGGAAGAATTCCTTACGAATCTCCTTGAGTCGCTGAATTGTCAAGTCATGTGCACGGCCCAAGCCTTGACAATTCCAACTCAGAATGCTCATTACTGATGGGACGGTCCCTCATTTGGGACCACCTCATTGGTGTTGCTCTTAGCAACTTTTGATGGAACTTTAGCCTCATCCATGGCTTTTCTTTTGTAGACCCTAATCTCAGTAGATTCAGACACCTCAACCTGAGGAAAAACAGATATAGGAACCTCAACAAACCCTACAATGCCAACCGTAGCCTTTGCTTTACGTCTCCTGCTCTTAAAAGGTCTTTTCCTAGGTTTACCATTCTTTAGAAAGGTCCCGGAAGAACTAGCTTCAGAGAAGCCTGTTTTAAATACCGTTGAACCTTCAGCAGAAGGTAAACCAGGATCAGAAGCACAAGAAGCCTCTCCACACAGACCAAAAGCTGAATTCCCCGTAGACCAGCTTAACTCCTTCCTTCCCTGACCTTTAACAGAACCCGTCTTGTTATTCTGCTTCACATTCTTCCCTTTAGACCCATCCAAATTTAAGTTTGCATACTGAAAGACCAAACCTTTGCCTTTTGAGATATCTCCTGAGACCATAGGAGGAGTCTCCAATCTAAGACAAGTTTTCTCACCTATGGGATCATTCTTCAAATCATCCAAATATTTCTTAATTCTTTCCTGTCTCGCAAGTCTTTCAGCCACCATCAAATACTGCCTCATACCATCTATCACCTAAGGAGCAATACGCGGTCTACCGGTCATTGGGTTTAAACCCACCTGATGCTCCTTCACTACTCCAAACAATGGGTCAGATTCCTTTATAATCTTCTCTGGCTCTTTTGGAATATATCCCTTTTCCTTTTTGCTTCTCGGACATCAGCTTATCTTCTCTCAAATTAATCTGAATTGGACACTTGCTCTGCTCATGAGTCATCCTTTGGCAAGTGAAACATCGCTTCTGCACCCTTTCAAAATCGAAGAGAATGTTGACAGGAACACCCTTAAAATGCACAATCTTTGCTCTTCTTAGTGGCTTTGACACATCAAAAAGAACCCTTACCCTCACGAAATCTTGGTTCTGGGGATTTTGAGCATCCAAAATCACTTCTTTAACCTGGCCAACTAACTCACCCAACAGTGTGATAGCTTCCACCGTGTAATGATTCACCGGTATGTTTCTAATTTGCACCCAAACATTGATGAACTGTAAGTAATCCACCGGAGGATTCTCCACCCATCTATCGATAACAATCACCCAATCATTGAAGGTATGAACTCCTCTTTCGAGAATCGCCTCCATCTCCTGTTGATGCTTGAAAATAAACTGAAATTTTTCTTGAGAAAGAGCAACACCACGCACTCTTCCAACCATCTGCCATTTCCTTGGCATATTCATTATCAGACTAGACATCTTCTGACAATCGGGGTTAAGGAGACGACCCATTATACTCAGCACATTCTTTTCACTCGAACAGAACTCCGGCAAGTCCGGCATCACAAACGGTTCTTCATCTTCTTGCAGAGAAAGAGCCATCAAGGCTCGATCAATACTAGCAGACATCTTCTAAGAACTGTAATTGAAAAAAACCCCGACGAAACTCTCAGATCCGAAAGATATAAATAGCGGCTACGAAGAACCCTAGAAAAACAACTCTCACAAACACTTCCCAAGTCGACAATTTGCGAGAAAAAGTCACTTAAAGTACTTTTCACCTCAGATCCACTAAACCGGAATGGTTTTCCGAAACAGAAGCTCTACAATGAAAGACTCTATTTCAAAGAGAGAGACTTAAGCCCAAATATGGGAAACTTGATTCGACTGAGATATTTTGTCCGGATTATACAGACTAGAGGCCTTTTCACTATGCTTTATTCGTGTTTTTTCATTACAACTCTTCATTCCAATAGTTTTATTTAACAAATAGTTATGTCTATTTAAACGTTCATATTATTTGTAATTCTATATATATTTTTCGTTCTTCTTAAATAATTACCAACATTTTGTTATTTTTGACACTCGTTTTTTCGTTTTAGGATTAATCCAAAAAAATTGAATTTCGTAACCAACATTATTAATTATATAGTTTCTAAAATATTTTTAAGATACATTATTTAAATAATTCCTATAATTCTTGATATGACTAAATTCTTTTGAAATGATCAATAATAATGTAGAAACTAGATACAGGATCCGCGCCTTGCGCGGGAAATGGTTGATGGTCACAATTTTCTGTATAAGTAAAGAAATTGTTCAATCTTTAAAGAGTTGAATATTTTGTGTCTTTTAATAAATTTTTTTATATACATATAAATTAGTGTTTTCACGTCCGACCCGAACCGTTTAGTATGATCAGTTAACATGCAATCCGTACACTTCTCCGGTTAAGGTTTAGTGCTAATGTCCGATAATTTTTTTTTTTTGCTCAGATGTCTGGTTTTTTCAAACCCGAATAAAAAACCCATAAAAATCTGCCATTAACCCGTACCTGATAAATCGGTTGAACTGACCGGATATCGGATAAAAAACAAATCATTTGATTTTGAAATAAAATATAGGATTTTAGTTTTTTTTTTTTTGTATTCAGACTCCTTGAATGTGTGGTTTATTTACCTTCTCTTATGAGCTTGTCCTGTTTAGTATCGCCATCTGTTGCTTCAACTGGCTATTCTCCCGGGACAGTGTTGCTCGTGACTGAAGAAGTGAAGCCACTCTCACTGATAAATCCGCTTCCACCGTCTGTTAGACTGTTACATTTTAATGTCTTTGTCCCTTAAATATAAACATAAATGTTTGTTACATTTTAATGTCTTTGCTAATTAATATAGATATCTAATATTTATATGGAAAAATTGTAAGGCAGTTGTATATTTAGTTTGGAAGTATTAGTTATTTGATAAGATTTGCTTAAGGTTGGACGTAACCTTTGTTACATTTTAATGATCTTGCTAATATAGAGATAAATGTGGTCTCGTAGCCTGTGTTACTAATATTAGTTACGTAATCATTTGCTTAAGTTTGTGGTATATTTATTTTCGAAAGATTTGTTGCATAATTATTTGCAATTTTAATTAAAAATTTGTTTTGATTAATAGGACATATGTGTGTATAATATTAATGGCAAATTCTGTAAATAATCTAATAAAATTTGGGCAATTATTTAAATAGGTGACAAATCATTCTGAGAGCGACACGTCAGCATGACAATCTTGTTAATAACACGTTAAGGTAAGGTTTATTTTTTAAAGTGTTTCTCTATTAATATATAAGGGATTTTAGTCAATTGTAAATATATCTTCTATGGTAGCATCTATTTATTTATACGGTTTCGTCTTTTTATCCTATCTATTCGTAAAATATATATTTTTAATTTTAATAAATACCTTATACGGTTGTTTCTTTTCACAAAAATGCATATGTTCATTTAGAGTTGTGTATTTTCACTATGTTTTTTCATAACTATTCGTTACAATAGTTGTGTGCCTTTTAAAAGCAGTTGTGTCTACTTAAACGTCCATGTGATTTTAACTGTATACATATTGTTCGCTCTTCTTAGATAATTACCACATTTAGTTATTTTAACACTGATTTTTTATTTTGTGATGGAAAAAATGTGTTATTTACATAATGATTACAAAGTGTTTTTCTTATTTCACCTCCTTTTTTTTCATCAATCATAATTTGTTCAACTGTACAGCGCACATCTATCAAAAATAACATTCTTGTTTTGTCATATCATACTTTTATTCATACTTACCTACCTATTTTAAGTTCATCGTCATCAAGTTTTTTTGGAATAATACTATAACGAGACGTCAAACATTTCTTTACTTTCTAACAAAATTTAGTTTTGTTATATATATTGATTAAATTACTCGTTAATCTCTATGTCTTGTTGCTTTTAAAATTTGTTCGGTTAATGGTACAATAATTTTCAAGCAAAATTTAGTTTGGCGAAAAAAAAAATAAAAATAAATAAAAATTAAAAAATAAATTACTCGCTAAATCTAAATATATAGTGGGAGAAACCTCTTTCCATATAGCCTATCCACCTCAACAGCAATGTCATACCTTTTATGTGGAGCCCACAAAATCTATTTATTAAATCCAATATATATATATATATATATATATAGATTTCAATGTTGATGAGAACCGTTTTTCAATGTTGTATTTTGTTGGAAGGTTTAAGTGTGCCCCAACCCACTATCTTTAGCTCTAATATGGACTTTTGGACTTGATATTTAGACCCATCACATAACGTGTAGACCTATAACGTGTAGATAATCTGTCGTCTCCTCTGCGATTCATCGGAACCGTCGTCTCCTCTGTAGTTTATTGGAACCGTCGATGCTTCATTCATGGCTGGAGATATTTGCTCATCTAGAATCCCCATGAATAAGATACTTAAATGCATCACTTAATTCATCCATCAATTGACAATTTTTTTGTTCGATACCATTGCTTCGTATCCCCAAATAGAAAACGAAAGTATATCAAAAGAATAACATTCACTGACTTTTCGAATGTATACGTTACAGATGTGTTCTTATAACCACCAAATGTAGAAATTAATAGATGGTATTTATTATCGTTCTCTCTTCATTTCAGCATCTCACTATAAAACTCATTGTCCTCGTAACTTAACAATTCCCAAAACTAAATTTAAACTCAGCATACCTTTCAAATTCAATATGGCTATCGTTGATGTTCCTGCTCAAACTCATTACTCCACTTTTGATGATTTACGTCTTGGCCGATCTTCTCAACACGTTGTTGGCCGGCTCTTACGATTTTGGGCTGCCCGTAATATAAGAGAAAACGGTGAATTCATGGGCATAGTCGTCCTCTTGCTCGATGAGAAGGTTGCGTTTAAGAATCTCCTTTCAATTTCCTTTTAATATATATAGATAAATAATTGACGAATTAAATATTTACCCATTTTCTATACAGTACTCAGTAATTCACTGTTTTATCCCAACTGCTCGTGCTGGCCAATTCCGCAATGTTTTACAAGAAGGCTAATCTTTTGTGATAGAGGGTTTGAAGTGGGAAGGTGCACAAACCTCTAGAAGATTACTGACAACCCATTTGTTATCCGTTTCTTACATTCAACAACAATTGTTGAAGTGAAGTGAATCACATAGGGTCTACAATAGAAAGAGAAAAATTTATACTTCGCAAAGCAGATCATCTCCAAGCTCTTGCAAACACCAATCTTGAACTACCAAGTACAATATGAACAAATACTCATGAGTAATAATTATTGAACCTTATTATATTACACTTTATATATATTTGCTAGATGTGGTGGGTCAATAAAATTTGTCCAAGGATCAAACCTGGATGAGCCAACATCCACACAACGCCTAGTTGTCCGATTCATGTTATACTCGTATGCATTCTAAACCTCTTAACATATTATAAAGCTGGAAACAATTATTATATGACTAATATTTTACATTTTTCCACTAACAAGTCAACCATTGTGTACCTATCATTATGGGATGAAGCAGCTGCAACCTTTCGAGCTTATCTCACTTCTGGAGACACGATAAATTTTGTCATGTTGGTAACTACAATAAACCCAAAGCTGTTTGGAGGTAAGAATGAAGTCCTACGTTTTATTAGTACAAAATGATAAACAAAACTGATTTTTTTCTTTTTTGTTTAACAAAATCGTTGTTAGGTAATATGTATCTGAACTCCACTCCATCAATCCGGTTTTATTTTGACCATTCCATTGAGGGAATCAACCAATTTCCAAAAAAGATCATGCTTATTACAACTAAAAATTTCCAACTATCATTAAAGCCTTTTTTTTTTTATCAAAGTCTAACCGAGTTGTTTCTTATGCAGGATGGAAATAAAAGCTGCCAAGCCATTTGCAAACGCAGACACATCCGAAGAAATAAAAAAAAGAAAGAAATGCTTTGTATTGTCGAACTTTACAAGTTCATATCAAACTCTAATGAACAGGTTATTCTTATTATGAAGTACACATATTTAAATATGTAATGTGACTTTGATATTCAATTTAAAATCTTTGAACAGGCGCAGGAAGCTGATTTCATTTGCACCGCCAAAGTTTTTGATGTCCTACAAAAAAGTGGTTGGTCATATGTTTCATGTGATGTGTGCAACCCCAAATTAGACAAATGTGGAACAACCTTACGCTGCCCAAAATGCATTTCTGAGAATGTCACTGGTGTTGTGAGATATTAAAATCTTTTACTTTCTGTGTAAGTCATCATTATCTATTTATAGTTTTCTGGTAAGCCTTTGACTGTCTCTTTAAACCAATAATATTATATAGTAAACTATACAAGTGCCTTACTTTGTTGATCTACGATTGTATAGTGTTAGTATTGTTCAATAATCTTAATCAGTTTTATCAGCATTTTGCCTATGTATAAACTTGAATATCCTATAATTTTGATATAGTTGTGTGATTTTACATAGATAAGTTAAAATGTTTCACCCATAATTTGTAATTATCCATGGAACACCTATAATTGATTACAATTTGTTAGGTATCAGGTAGAACTTGTTGTTTATGATGGTCAAGATGGTGCAACATTTGTCGTCTTTGACTCTGAGATGACAAAGCTCACCAACAAAACAACAGCTACTCTCATCTTAGAGGCTGTAAGTATTGTTGGAATTAAAAACAAGCACTTACGATTTACATTGTTAATAAGCTTTGCAAAATCAAACGACTAAACTATTTCAATCCTAAATGTGTAGGATAATGGAAGACTTGAAAACGAAATACCAAATTGTATTCAAGAAATTATTGGGAAAAAGTTCTTATTTCAGAAAAGAGTGACTCCGTTCAACTTTACTTCCAAACACCGGATTTTTACTGCGTCAAAAATCACTCATGTCACCCCAAATTCAGAGGAAGTTGTACATGTATTAAATTCTGAGATTTCTCCAATAATTAAAAAAATAAACTAAAATATCATACTAAAATAGTATGCTCTCTATGATTTTAGGTTGAACAATTGAACAATGGCCTCACACTTTAAACTATTGTGAACGAACAATCAAGCTCAGATTTAACTGCGGTGGAGAAGACCAATGACTCCAATCACTCCACTGAAAGTGCATATGCTGAAAGTTATGATGCAAGCATGGTACAAAAGACTCAAGGCTCCAATGCACGTGTTGTGGAGAAGTCACTCAAGTAGTCACACAAACCATTCCACCGTCTTCCCATGCAATTCGTGCTTAAACTTTTAACATGTTTTCCATTTTCATTTATTCAGCATATAGCAAACTAAGTTTCATATTTTTATTTTTCCATTTTCCTACGTTTTGATTTAGCAAAACTAAATTTCAATATTTTAATAAAGAAGGTTATATGACGGTTTTAAATTATCTATTTTTTCCACAATAATCATTCATATATGTGTTCTTTTGCCACATTCTCATTACGTCTAAATTATTTACTTCTTTGAACGTTTTAACAATCCAACAAAAAATATATACTTTGATGCTATACAACAATTTTTAAAAGTACTATACATTGATGAATCATTTAGAACATTAATATATTTACTTCAATATGTAGGAAACAAAATTAGACAGCCTTCAGACTTGAGAACAAATCAATAATCACATACGTCCTTAAATTATGAAACAATGTGTTTTCGACAAACTGATATCAATATTAATCTAATTGATGCAAGGACATTAAAAGTTGTTGCTATTGAACACCCAAAGGGTGCTAATAAAGAAATTGACTCCATTTATTACGTTGAAGAAATCAAACCCACACAATGAAACTACTACAAGACTATGAAACTAAGTTCAAAAGAAAAAACAAAAAAACGTGTATGAATCTATTAAACTATGTTCAAAATAGAAAGTATCGATAGGAAGCTACGGAATCCCATCCAAACACTGGAGTCTGAAGCTGTCCTATGTGGTGATGGTGATGGTCCCATTTAATCTGATTGATGTAAGGAGTTTAAAAGCTATTGCTATTGAATACCAAGTTGAGTTGTTTCAAAGATTATTACTTTCTTTTACCCAAAATTTGGCAGATAATTCAACGCAACTTGAAACTAACACACCCAGAAATGTGCCAAACAAAATAACTTGTACTAGGATATGACATGCGGTACACCGCGGGTTAAATAAATTTTTGTTTGTGTTTTTTTATAACTTGATTATTTGTGTTATATATATATATATATATGATTAAGAATTTTTTTTAAAAAAAATTTATAATTGTATTTGGTTTGTAATAAAAGCTAGATTTTACTCCGCGGTACACCCCAGGTCGATTTTTTTAACTAAAGTTTTTTAATTTTAAGTTGTAGTTGTACTGTTAAAAAAACAATTATACTTGTTTTGTTAATATTTTTTTAAGTGTTTAATATTGTATAATTATATTTTTACTATTAATTCTAAGAATTCATCCGTGGTATACCATCTCGTAATAATATCGATCCAAACCCGTCCCACCATATAACCCCGTCCCGTGAAATCATTTTGTTATTTTCTTTTTAATAATATTTTTATTTAGAAAACATATAATTCGAGTCAATTTGAAAGTTTGCTTATAAATGGTTCTCATAGTATATGTATCTTTCATTTTTATAGAATTCAAATATTATTAATATTATAAACTTTTTATTATGTTTTTGTAATATTTAATATGAATAATTTTCATTCTAAAATACAAAGAATTTGGCTGTTTAATGTGGTTTACATTTTTTAGTACTAAACGATAGTATTGTTTGGAGTATTATTTAGCTCAACTAATTCAAATAATTTAGATGATTAAATATATATATATATATTAATTTACTATCATATAAAACAAAATGACATAGAATATATCATTTGGTAGCATCTATGAAAACGTCTTTGTAATTTAAACAAAATTTTTAATCAGAAAATATAAATATCCTGATTAATAAATAATTTTCTCCCTTTTGATGTTAAATATATAAAGTTATATTTGACATAACTTAATTGATGAACCAAGACGGGTGACATATAGTTGTGAATTATTAAGTTGATTTTAATAATAGAAAAAGAGAGATAAGTGGAAACCCTCTTTCTTAAGTCAAAAGATGGATTCTTTAATTCTTCTTTTTTATCTTCATTTTGACCTGAGAAAAAAGCCCTTTTTCTTCACCATCGTCGATACCTTTCCATTCTCTTCAAACAGACTTTTTTTCTCCGATTTTACATGGCGAATCAGAAATTAAGGAAGAGAGGTTGTAATTTGCCTATTACTCAAAGAAATCGTCAGATTCAATGGCCAAAGAGAGAGGGTCGATTTCAAAGAAGGTTGGTATCGCGTTGAGTTAAATCTGTTCACTCGTATAGGTGTTTGAGATTGTCGCGTTAGAGGATTATAATTTCATACGCCATATCCAATTGCTCAACGAACACACCCGAATGGATAGGTTACACATTTGAAGCCACAGAGGTAAGAGAATTCCATTGTTTTCCATTTAATAAATATCGATTATACATCAAGCTAGAAATTAAATTGTGACGATCATGGTTGAGTTTTAGATATATTTCTTTGTTGATTCTCTAATGCCCTTTAGCAAACAAATTGAGCACCTCTAATGTTAATTTGTAATTTTTCAGAGAGATTTTGATTTTGAAATATATACCAGATTTCGAAATTGTGTTCTTCTCAATGATTTCAGAAATCATCTTTACACATTTTGTGGAATTAAAATTCTTTTCAGATTGAATACACTATTTCTCTGTAGTAGAGAAGTTATCCTACATGAAAAAGATTTCAGAGTAAAGCTTTCTGAAATTGCAATGTCATAACATGTACTAGGATATGACCCGCGGTACACTGCGGGATAAATAAATTTGTATTTGTGTTTTCTTATAACTTGATTATTTGTGTTATATATTTTTGATAAGTATTTTTTTGTTTATAATCTTATGATTGATTGATATTTTAGCATGCAGTTTACCGCGGATTGATATTTTTGTAACTAAAAAGTTTAAATTTTAAGTTGTTGTTGTTTTGTTAATGTTATTGTTTTGTTTAGTGTTTATGATTGTATACTTGTATTTTGATTGTTAATTCTAGATTTCACCCGTGATATACCGTTCCGTATTAATATCGATCTAAACAAGTCCCACCATATAACTCCGTCCCGTGAAATTAAACATCATTTTGTTGTTTTTTAAGAAAATATTTTATTTAAAAGACATATAATTTGAGTCAATTTAAAATTTGCTTATAAATGGTTCCCATAATAATTTTACTTTTAACTTTTATAGAATTCAAATATTTATTAATACTAATTTTTTATATAGAATTTAACCGTTTTATAACGTTTAAATATTTAAATACTATCACAAAGTTTAAAAAATTTTAAAATAACTTAAAAATGTGTCCAAACAAAAAATGTGGTCCAGGAGTTAACCCGTGGCATACCGTACGTCAACTTTTTTTTAATTTTTAATTGAAAAAATTGTATATTTAAAGTTAGTGTTTTATGTTTTTCATATTATTAGAATTGTTAACTATGTTAAATGACATAGTGTCATTATACTATTGCGAAATATTTAATTAGTGTAATAAATAATAATTTGAATATTATTTATGAAAGAGATTTTTTTTGGTTTTGTTAAAGTATTGCATTAATTTAAATATCTATTAAGATTACGCATCAAAAAGAGTTTACGGAGAAAATGTTGTTTTGAGAATCGGTGGCTTCCAAGCCAAAATATTTTTTAAAAATTAAAATAAATAAAAAGTGGAGAATATAACTATCCAACTACTGTTATCAAAATAATTATGTGGCAAGAAGATCAATGTACACATAGCCCATTCTAATTTTTCCAATTACGATAATATTTGAACCTATAATAAGAGAAAGCCACTAAAATAAAAAGCCCTAATTGTAGATTAGAGCCCAACCCATTAAATAGTTAAACGAACAAATAAATAATTACTTGAGAAACCAAAGAACCGAACATATCTCTTTCATCTTCTTCTCTCTTTTTTAATCTCTTTCGAAAACCTTCAAGAATCTGCAAATTTTGGGTTCTATTAGACATGTGTATTGAAAATTAGCGAAGAACCTGTTCAACAACTCAAGATCCAAACCCAAATTTCCCGAGATCTTAGTTCGACTCCAACTACACGTTGAGGTTCTATGTGATTGCAAAATGATGAAGAACAATTCGATTGAATACAATCTAGGCGAGAACGAAGATCCAATTTATCCCATGAAAACACAAAAACAACCTATCCGATCTGATGTTCATTTTGTCTCAATATAAAAGTAAGAGAATTTCATCGTTATTGCGCTTAGTAATAATCGAATTAATTTCATCAATAGCGAAAATTGATTGTGAATAACAGTTAGAACTGGAAATATATTTGTATACTGTGTCAATCAATGTAAAAGGAAAGAATGCTTCTGATTTCTAATCTTCGATTTTGCTTGGTCAAAAAAAAAAAAACTCATTTAGGTTTAGGTTGATGATCGTTGGTGAGATTCATTAACTTTGTAAGTTAACAAAGACAATAGAAACTGGATTGATCATATTTTCAGAATATTCATGAACTTCTTCTTCTAGAATTAGATCAATGGACAGTACTAAAATATTTAGAACAAAATGAAAAAACACTTGTGAATCATTAATGATATAGAGAAAGCTAAGAATTGAACAACCATCATGTATGCAAGATCCTCAATTGAAACACGCCATGCAAACTTGTATAGTAAAACATCTCTAGAGGTATGCAAAAGAAATATCTTGCTAGATAAGAATTCAGAATGATCGTTTAGAATGAGGAAAATTGGGTTGTGGTAATTGTTGGGTAGAAGATGGTTATTTATAAAGGAGATTAGTCTAAGGTTTTGGCGTCGGTTTCAGAATATCTTGGAGAGCAAGCAGAAAAATCATAGATACAAATCAAAAATTAGAATGATTCACACATGTTTAAGGAAAGATGCAAATCATTATATAACAAAAACAATATACTTGTTAGTTTTAGGCAATATTCTGACATTTGAATATCTTGAGAATATGCTTATTGTTAGTTTACAAATCTAAACAAAATATCTACGTAATTGTTAATGTGGTTTCCTTTTTTGTAGGGAAATCTTGCCAAAAGTTATATTAACAATGACTGACGAAAATTAAAGAAAATCCGAATTCAAGATTTGCGGTTTATCATAAAAGATTTGTTTTAGGAATATCTCGATTTATTTGGATTCGAAAGACTGATTTCCGGGTCAAATTCCTTGCATTTCTTTTTGGCAAGTATCATTTATCAGGATCCGAGAGTTTTAATTGGTCATTGAGTCGGGTCAAAAACAAACAATTCGGGTCAAAATCTTGCTAAAAACCCTACCCGATTGGAAATGAGCAAATTTGTACTTCAAAAATGTTAAGTAGATAATTTACGATTTAGAATATATTTTAACATGCTTTTGATCACAGGTGACACTTAATGAACAAAACAATTACTCGCAGTAGTTCAATAGTCATCAAAGCTATGGAGACAATGGTTAGTAACTATGAATTCTTGTCTATACATTTTATAGTCATGTTTATATTCTGAAATTTAAACTGATTGTTGCTTGATGAAATAACACATACTTAATAATGTTGCTTGGATATAAGAATATGCTGTAAATAGTAACTGAAATAAAGAAATTGAAAATCAATGGAAAGTGTCGTACTTTCACTTTAAGTAATATAGAAATAAAGATTGTATAGTTTGGATGGTAATCTAAACTCTTAATTGACCTAAATCTTTCCATCTTATTTGAAACAAAGGTTGTCCTTCGACTTTTGATCGACCTGGCCCTTTAAATTCATTTCACTGATGAGATATTACCCAAAAGTTGGCATATTAAGCGACAAAAGTTGGCATATTAAGTCCTCTAAATACCCAAAAGTAAAACTAATTAAACAATCTAATCCAACTAACTATTAAATCATTTAATTACTATTTTTTCTGTTTTAAAAGTGATAAAAAAAAATGGGCTCGTAATATAACATATTTAGTTACACTGCGAATAAAAACTCAAACCAGTTTCACTGAATTTGTTTCTTGAAATCTTGAAGTCGTTTCCACTGCGAAGAGGAAGCATCTTGCTCGTTTGGTAACTATACGACCATCTTCTTCTTCTTCTTCCGTTCCTCTTTGAAATCATCTGACGATTAGGTTAATGATCTAGTTTTCTGGTTCATTGCTCTCGAATCCTCTCTCGATTTCTCATTTGAATGTTTTCTAGTTTCTTGTTGTTCTAAAGATTTCCTTGCATGAATCCTTAGTTTGGAAGATGAAACTTACATTACATAATCCTCCATTACGATATTTATCTTGTTTCGTCTAGAGAAGAGTTCGTGACATTGATGTGTTGAATCCAATGATTGGGTTGATTTGGTATTTGATTAGTCTTAGAATGTAATCTTGATTTGTCATGTTCTCGTTCAATGCAATTTTGCTTTCTTCTAGTCTCCTGTGAATTCAAAAGTCTTTATTTTAGATAGTAGAGGGATCGACTGATGATGATCTGCTCTGTTTTTAACGAACAGAGATCTCCAGTAATCGGAAGAAGAGTATCATTGAAGCTAACTATGGATGCTGATCGTTTAAATATCGCTTCTACGGAGAAAGCATTTCATGAAAGAGAACGAACAACTATGCGTGAAACGGTTACATACATCGCTGATGTGAAGGAAGCATTTCTTGATGAACCTGCAAAGTTTGACGAGTTTCTCAAGCTCATGAAAGATGTTTGTGATCATAAGTACGAATTTTTTACGTTTGGTTTGGTTCTTTGTTCCAAGTTTTACAACTGTGAATCTACACAACAACCACACACATTGTGAATTGTTTCCTGATGTTAGTATTCTCTTTTGTAGAATCGATGAAGCTAATGGCAGTGCAATGATGGCTGAAATCATTAAAGGGCACCCAAATCTGCTTCTTCGTTTAGGTGTCTTCTTTCCCAAGTATTCTGTGAACAAGCATAAGGTATAGAATTTGCTAAAATGATGAATGATTCTCTTTTGCTAGCTTGTGATATATGCATCTGTTATTATTATCAATCTGATAAATTACCCTTCTTTATTCCAAAGGGTAAGAGAACCATCCCTCCAGATGATGAGCATGGTGGTAGTGCTGAGTCTAGTAATAACAAAAAAAACCGTGCTGCCAATTTTATGGAGAATCTTGAGGTAAACTAATGGAAATACCATTTTGATGTTTCCTATATGTTAACTTGTGATTTAAGTAACAAAATTTTCCATGTGCAGGCAAGGTTTCAGGGTGATGGTGGTCATGTAGTTAACTCAGTTCTCCAGATAATTAGGATGTACACTATTGAGGGAAACAAGTCCAAAAATGAGGCGTATCATGAGGTAGGGTTCTTGGTGCGACACTTTGTGTGTTTCACTTTCTTAGTTCTTTGGTTTGATCTGCTCTTTGTTATCTTTTGCAGGTCGTTGCACTTCTTCAGGGTCATGTAGATTTAATCATGGAGTTTGACGAATATTTTAGTGATAAATTGTCTCAGCCTAAATATGCTTGAATATAATGTGACAGAAAAGAGTAGAGCTTCTAACGAGAAGAGAGTGTTATAGTTTTCTTTTGTAAGACATTTGAGTTAAGTTTGATTTCTTCGTCTAAAGAGAGAACAGAACATCATCAAAATGCTATATTGATATTTCTTTGTTACCTCAGAAGAATTTGGGTCTTGTCTATTATTTCTTTTATTTTTAATGTGCAAAAAAAAGAGCACCTCTTTGCTCTGCTTAAATTACCTAAAACTAAATCTTGATAATCCTAAATTCGTAACACAAAAGAAATTAAATACCTATAACTTAAACCAAAAGATGTCGTATATTATTTATTACGAATCATTTTATGAAGTAAATTTACTAGTTTTTGTTGATCAGAAAAAGAAATTAAATTTTTACAAAAACTAAGAAACTAAAAATTTTAGATAAATATGTCAATTAATTGCAGATCTATCAATACTTTTGAGTTTTATGTTGTCTCTTTTTTTAGAAAATGTATATCAACTAAATAATTTAAAGTGTTGTTTTATAAAAACAAAAATGTAATAGTAAATGCCACATTGTAACAAAAGTGATTTTAAACTCTCGAAAAAGTTCAAGTAAATAAGCTTTAACAGATGCTTATGAAGATTTACAATTGAAATTGTTTATCACTAAATTTACATAAAATCTGTAAATTATAATAAATGTGAAATTTTATTTACAACTGACTTGTCAGTTATTTTCAGATCTATCAATACTTTTGAGTTTTATGTTGTCTACTTTTTTAGAAAATGTATATCAACTAAATAATTTAAAGTGTTGTTTTATAAAAATAAAATTGTAATAGTAAATGCCACATTGTAACAAAAGTGATTTAAACTCTCGAAAAAGTTCAAGTAAATAAGCTTTGACAGATGCTTATGAAGATTTACAATTGAAATTGTTTATCACTAAATTTACATTAAATCTGTAAATTATAATAAATGTGAAATTTTAATTTTATTTACAACTGACATGTGTTTATCTCATTTAATATTAGTATAATACAATTATATCTCATTGCTACAAAGCTGTTAATTGCAAATAGACTGATTTCATTAAGGTTATTAATATATAAAGACACCTATACAACTCAAAACTATTCATTTCCTACTCGTGAAGTACCCGTAGAGTCAATTTTCTGGTTTGTTTCTTCTTAAATGATTTTTTTTTCTGGTTTGTTACTTTGAAGTCTTTTAACAATTCTTCTTTGACTTAAATAATCTATAGTTGATTATTGTCATGTTCTCGTGCTTTGCAATCTGCATGGTTCATTGCATGTATTTTATTTTATTTTAATTCTAGTAATTTTTAATTAAGATCCGTGATGCAAAATTCTGTTTTTTTTTTTTTTTTTTTTTTAAATTTAAAGTAACTTTTAAAGAAAAGAAGTTAATGTGTTTGAAATGATAGAAATAAAAATTCAATTATTAATTTTTTTAGTGAAATCAAATAATTAAATAATCACTCTCTTTGTTTGGAAAATAAAGCTTCGATTACTTGTAAACCATGGATGGAGGACGTTTATTTGATTCAAACAAACCGAAGCCAACTAAAGAGGATGCATATGCATATGTTAGGGCTGTGAGGGATCATTTTCATAATGATAGAAAAAAATATGAAGACTTTCTTGCGATCATGAAAGATTTTAAAACTCGGAAGTATGTGATATATATAGTTTTTGGAAAATATGATTAAACAATGTTTGGTTCAATTTTTTGTTAAACAAGTAATTAATTTTGATTTATAATCTCATTGTAGAATTAGTAGGGTTGATTGCATAAGAGCGGTGCTGGAATTGCTTAACGGAGACCGAGACTTGATTTCTGGTTTCAATGCATTTTTACCATTTTGGATGGAGATCATGGAGATCAACTAATTATTACTTTTGGGCATGAGAGGGGAGGTGATGTTTTGGGATTTGGTTTAGATTTGTTTTAAATCGAAGAATTTATTTGTGGTTATTATTATTATTATTATTATTATTATTATTATTATTATTATTATTACTAGGACTCCGGACCCCCGCGATGTCGCGGGGGAAAATATTTCAAAAATCTTTAAAAAAATATCAAACAAAAATTAATAATAACGATGGTAGATGATTAAAAGTTATAACGATTTATAAAATAAACTTAAAGTTTCAATTTTTCGTGAAATAAACTAAATGTTGCAATGGTTCAACTAAACGATTACAACCATTTTATGGAAAGTTACGATAAAAAAGATACAACCGTAAAAAAATATTTACTCGGATTGCAACTTTCTTAAAACACATAACGTAAAATGATTTTTTTAGTTTAAAAAAAAAATGACATGTTGCGATATATCAAAAGTTGCAACGGTTCGTCAAGTTTGTCAAATAAACTAAAGATTACAACGGTTCGTAAAATAAAACCAAAAGTTGCAATGATTTGTCAGATAAACCAAATGTTTCAACAGTTCAATTAAACGATTACAATCTCATTTAAATAAATTTTGGTAATTAAAAATTAAAAATATTAATATATGAAAAGTTATACCGAGAGAATCGAGTAATCGACGGTAGATAATTAGATGTTATAGCAATTTATAAAATAAACCAAAGGTTACAATTGTTCGTGAAATAAACTAAATATATAAATCAAAGGTTGCAATCGTTCGTGAAATAAACTAAATATTGCAATAATTCAAATAGGAGGTTGCAATTGTTTATGAAGAGTTGCAATAAAAAGACGCAACCGATGAAGACATTCGGATTGCAATTTTCTAAAAAAACATATCCGTAAAATATATATTTTAGTTTAAAAATTTTTTAACGAAAAGTTGCGATTAAAAGACACAACCGTTCAGATGTGCAAAAGGCATTTATTGAGATTGTTATTATATATAGAAAACAACCATAAATATTTAAACAAAAGGTTACCATAAAAAGACACAACCGTTCAGATGTGCAAATGGTATTTATTCGAAACGATATAACCGTTAAAAAATAACCGATTAAAACGAAAATTACGATAAAAAGACGCAACTAAAATAACCGTAAAAAAATAACCGATTTAAACGAAATGTTGCGATAAAAAGACGCAACCGTTCAGATGTGCAAATGGTATTTATTTTTGAGTTAGTTAAATAACTTGAAATAGTCCTATAAAAAGAAAATAGATTGAATATTTTTGATGCTTTTGATTTAATATTATCATTGGGTTAGGAATAACTTTACCTCAATCATCTCATAGACTCTTTTGATGGTCTTCTTTGTTCCCTGCAGCAAAGAACAATATATCATGTTAGTAAGAATTTATCACGAAGATAAATATTCTCATATTAAAAATGATACAAATTAATGTTATAGAAACAAATGTATTCTGAAGGATTTATTTAAAAAGCTTACTTGCATATCACTTAGATCTATGTCGGTACGGAAATAAAAATTTTGTGGTATATGGTTAAGTAACAATAGGATATTTTAGGAGATTGTGAAGTAACAATATAGGGAGGATTGTATTTAGTTAAAGATTTGATATAATTTAGTTATAGAAATCTTATTAAATTTTCGAATATGCTAGGAAGTTAGGAATCTTCTAATAATTTATTTAGATTTTTGATTCCATCGTCTGTAGCATTTTTATAGGAAACAATTTGAATATAAAATATTCGTTTGTTGATACGATATATATATTTGACAAAAAAAAACCCATATATATATATATACACGTTGGATATTTGCATTGCATAAAAATAGGAAACCATTTGTTTTGCAAATAACAGTTTGTTATAATTTCGTTTGGATTTTTTGTAGGAAAGTATCCAAAAAAGAAAGATCCAATTGAAGGAACTCCGGGTCAAAATAAAATAAGGAATGATCCGTGTCAAAAAAATTCGGGTCTAAAAAGTAAATATGGCAAAATTCGAATCAAAGATTTGCTGGTCAAAATCAATTAAAACCCGACCCGATTGGATCCTTAAAATGTACTTCAAAAATGTATAGTAGATTTATGTCATTTATTTAGTGTCATTAATTGATTAAACCTCTAAGAAATTAAAAGCCACGTCTCCAATACTCATTGTAAACGTCCACACATTAAACCCACAAATACCAATACATTAAAATCTATTAACAAATAATTGGTACGTTGAGAAGAGGAAAGATCCACCCGACTAATCTATTTAAACAAAGTTACCATACATTTGCAACCTCCAAATATATCAAACAAAAACAATGGATCCCAACAAAGCTGAAATCAGTCGTCTTGAGGCACTTCCTCAAGATCTAGTTGGAGATATAGTTGCTAAAATTGGGGTTACATCCGCTGAAGACTTCCACATTGCATCTTTTCATGCAAAGAACTAGGCGCATCAGCCAACGACAAACGCGTTCTCAAAACCTTTAAGTTTGCTCCGTTTGAGAAGAAACTGTTATCGGCATGCCAGCACCTTCTTATTATGAAAAAATGTCTTGCCAACAACAACCCAAATGCTCACTACATAAAAGGTATAATACGGTACTTTGTCCTTAATCATTCTGACGTTGGTCTCCACCATATTGGCATAGCAGCTGATACAGACCAGAAAGAAAGAATCTACATCTATGCCATGCTATTATTATGTAGAGACATGACTGGAGAAGGGAAAACCTATATGAACCATCTTGAATGGGCTAAAGACACCACCATGGCTGAAACATGTTGGAAAAAAGTGAAAACCTCATTACATGAGATTAGAGTGGCGACAAAGAGATGCTATATCGTATCACTTCGCAACATGAAACCCCAGCCCCAAGCGTGTGCCATCGCAGAGATTTGGACAACACATATGAATTGTGTTTTCTCTACAAACAAATGTTTAAGTTTATCTTTATGGTATAACTTAAACACAACATCGAGAGAGTTGGAAACTGTTTTTAAAATTTTCTCTAAAATGTTTCAGGTAGTGACTATCACAAAGCCTCAAAACAAAGTAAGTTCTGTTATTTCTTTTGCTTTCATGTTTGTCTTCACTTTTAGGCTGAGATATCTATCAAAACAGTTGTACAACACTGTAACTAATTTTTACTCTTTCAAACAACAGTTGTCTACACTATTGAATTCCAAAAGCAATGATTGCCACATGCGCACATACTTCTATGGCTACAAGGAGATCTTAAAATACCAAAACCAGAGGATATAGATACATACATTTCAGCAGAGATACCGAAAAAAAAAAATCCTGAAGCTTACAAAATGGTA